GATTTATCTCTCTTCCCTTTGTTATCAAACGAGATCTCGGAATGCGTCGCGAAACTGAAACTAATTTCATTGACAGTGAGATAACAGATAAAAATAGACGTAAAGTAGGGTAAATTGAATAAACAAAATAAAATAACTAGAAGAAAGAACAGTTAAATTAATGAATGACAGGGTTGTATAAAATTTATGTATTATTATATTTAATATTTTAAATGGTTATTTTTATTATTAAGTATTAACCACACCCACGACTTTTACCCACACCCACGACCCACGACCCACGACCCACGACTTGTACCCACGACCCACGACCATTAGTCAAACCCTCTGATAGCATCAATGACAAAAGGAAGAGAGATAAATCTGGTAATTACGCACTGTATACACGTTTTCGAGGTCTGCGGTCTGCGTTTTCGAGGTCTGTGTTAACGAGACACCTAAGAGAATATTGTTTTGTACGATTGTATCAAATATTATTTCATATAGTAAACGTAAAAACGTTAAAATTGCGATAGCGCTTGTAAATTCTATATTTGCGGCTAAAGTCAAGGGACAAGAAACGGAAATTCTGTGATCTCGTCTGATAACGTCAATGACAAAATAAAGATAGATAAATCTGGTAATTACACAAAGGAAAACTGATGGGGCACAAGTCGACTCAAAAGGCACACGCATAACCTATGCCGGACTGGTAACTCAACAGCGGAGGATCGTAAACGCGATAGTTTCAATAAGAATTAAAGTCCAGTGTTTACGTGGCAGTTTCGCTTTCGCATGGCTAAAAGCTTAAAGAAACGCCGCGGCCTTGCGCAAAATGTTGATGTAGGAGAAGTCAGTCGAAAAACCGATTAAAATAATTATTACGATCGAGTAAAAGCTCCATTAACCAGTACTGTTTACAATTACAACCATCTACACCCCTCCCTGAGTAATAACACTCTTCCCCCACCCCTCCATCAGTACTTGTCGATTGCACCTACCCCTCCCTGAGTACTAAAGGTGTGCCTCCCCCCTATTAAAATGGTCCAAAAAAATCGTCCAAAACATAGTCCAAAAAAATCGTCCAAAAAAATCGTCCAAAAAATAGTCCAAAAAATAGTCCAATCCAGTCCAGTCTATATTTTACCCTATGCCCTACGGAAGACAACCGAAAACGTTAAACATCTCACAATTTTAGGATTGTGTGTCAAAAGTTTCCTAGTAGAAATATCTTGGTAGGTTTGATCGGTGCATCTTCAAACTTAGGAAATTTTTTTTTCTTTGAAGAGACAGCATTTTACCACTGAAATCAGCAAATTATGGAGATCCGAAGAAATAACCTTTTCACTTGGCGTACGTGAAAAAACTACAAAAGAAGATATACATCTCAAAATAATTACCGACGCTTAATTGAAATGAAAACTTTTCCGCGCAGAAATATCTCAATAAACGTGATCTGCATATCGTGTGATCTTAGGGAAACTTTTTTCCCCTGAAAAGAGAGCATTTTACAGTTTGAATCAGCGACTTCTGTCGAAAAGGACCGCTGAGGGCTCGGGCGCACTAGGCAAATTTTTGTTCATTTTGCGAAAAAATCTCTCATCAGTTCAGTGAGACAAGGTCGCTCGGGGATTAGTTTGTCAAGCCCAATCTTTAAATGCGCAGCCGTTCTGCCTCGGAATGGCGGAATATCTTGAGACGCGGAATGACGGAAATATCCTAAAACAAAAGTCTCAAAAAGTGGCATGAAATAAAAAAAATATGCACGATTAACATGCAAAGTTAAAAGGGACATTTGTAATTATTGTTGGAGACCAGAGAATAGGGGAATCGTGAGGCTTTCGAGTTAGTCCCTTTAAGTTATTATTATATTCTTATTGTTATCATTATTATCATCATAATTATTTTTTGTTACCATTTAACTATGGTTGAATGTCAGTCAATATTTTCTTGAATCATCTTTCTCTCGTAGAACAGAGTACTCGTAAATATGTGGGATGCGGCAGGTTTTCTGTTTTACCTGTCAGAACAGTATTCTACTACACTGACTTTTAGCATCATTTTACAACCTCTAGTTCTTTTCAGTGCTACAAAGATGCTATACCAGTAGCCACATGCAGTCTCTGACTGTTTTTTTTTTTCAGTTCTTGCCGCGACACCACAACAGACAATAAACATCTCAAAATAATTTCACATTGGCTGATAGTTTCTAAAGAAACTGTTTGGCACTGCGTCGGTGGGGGTAACGACGAAGGGCTAACGCTCGAAACGTCAGCTTTTATAACCGTAACGGTGGCCAATTTACCATTTCAACTTTGTTGATATATTCAAATTAAAAGGAACAGAGTTTAATCTTTAGTGGAGCAAGGATAATTGACGGATAGAGTAACAGTGAGGTTCCTTAGGCAAGCCCCATAAATTATCACAGTGTGTTAATAAATTATCAGTGTGTTAGACTATTGTTATTTAGTATGATTTCATAGCTGAGCAAAGAGTTCAAGTTCCAGCAATTGATTGGTCGAGCGGTTCCTTATATGACGCTATATAAACCGCTCCAAGCGGTTTATATAAAATGTTAAAATAAAATGTCAATAAATGTTATTAAAATGTTATGATTTTAGAAATTGCTCTGTTGTTCAGCTCTGAAATGATACTAAAACAATTATTCGCCTCACGTTCGGTGAATATTGTCGAATAATCGGTGATATTCACCAAACCTGCGCGAATAATTGTTAAATATACATACATACGTTAATTGACCACTCCCTCATAGAGCTTTTCAGGGCCATTCTTACAACACTGTGCCCCACTCATCCCACCCCAGAGGAGGACGTCCACCACACAGTAATCTCTTGCGTGGGAAATTAACGTCTCCTACCCCTAACCGAGACGGGGCCTACGGTTTATTCGTCCTTATCCGAGAAGACTAGAATAACTATCCTTTTCTTGATATTATACTAAGGTAGCAAATTCTCCTCAGTTATTTTAAGACCATGAGTATTGGTCCGGCCGGGGCTCGAACCCTCGAACTCCCGCACAACACAATCCGGCGCTCTAACCAATTGAGCTAACCGGGGCGGTTATAACTATTGTTCTTATTATTGCTATTGTTAATATGATTATTTTTTACCATTTAATTAATATGACTGAATCATCTTTATGAGTACAAGGTACTCATAAATATGTGGGATGTGGTAGCAGTAGCCATATGCAGTCTAACCGCTTTTTTTTTCCTAACATAACCACATCTTGGCTTGAGGATAATCTTCTGATAATGTTCAGAGTCATTTATTTATTTTCTGCGATCCCACCTCTTGGTTGTTTTACACCGGTCAACCAGCAATTTTGGATTTACACTGCTAATTTATTTTATTTCATATTGGAAATTACAACCAAACTTGGAACACAAAGACGAACGTTGATAAAACCTTGCCGTTCTGACTGCTAAAGGTTCCTGGTAACCTTGATATCTGATTCCTAACTTCCAAAAAATGAGTACGTTGCTAAGAAGAAATCCTCAGCACTTCAAATATTTCTCGATGGGCTATTTCGTGCTCCAGGCCAAACCTTTAGTAAAATCCATGCTCTTTCCAGACTCCTAAGGCCGTGCTAGCACAACGAAATTCTTATATAGAGTCCGCTCATTACTTGTAGATGCAAGATATCCACGACCAAAAAACAATCCAGTGAACTAGCGCAAGGCATCTTGGTTAGGTTCTCTCGACCGTTGCTCGAATTATCGGCTGAGACCGTCTTCATACGTCTGTTTTGTTTTGTAGTACCCCCAAGATATTCCCAAAGTAATATTCCCAATTTTCAAACCTTATTTCCAATACGGAAAACTCTGCGCTTAAAATTTAATTCAAGATGAGAAACACTGTGTGGTTGTAATATAAGGAGGAACAGGCATCTTTTATTCGTTCATCAAACCGTATCAGATAGCACTGAAAAGTGAACATCCCACGCCTTGAACGGTAAGCAGTTAACAAAACATTTTTTTTTCCGCGCATTGAAAAATATTTGAAGGATAATAAACACAGTAGCCTCTATTTGGCGCGAAAATATGCTCGTATATCTGTCCTTGGACAATATCTGTTCCTCGATGCTCACAGTTTTCCTCGAGCTTCGCTCTCGGAAGACTGTTCGCATCTCGCAACAGATAATGTCCGCAGACATATATCCGTGCATATTTTTGCGCCAAATAGAGGCTATTGTTCATGTACAAGATATCCCATGCCAGACTACGTTACACAATTTTAGGCCTCAATTTTATATGGCTGTGCAGAAAAGGTTCGCCACAAGATCTTAATAATTCTGATGACGTTGGATGTTATTATGGGGCTGACGATAAAGAATCTGTTGCGCATGAATTTAGAATGAATAACAGTCTTCTGGCAGAAAACGCCTCATACTTCATAACAGTACAGGTAACAAAGGATGAAAGGCACGCTGAGTACACTCAGGAAGTGTTTATCGTTCCTGGCGATCCACCAGAAGTGCAAATCAGGTATGGAAAGCTGATAAATCAGGCGTTAGAACTTTCCCTGTGAACTTAAGGTACCGTGTTTGCAAAACTAAACAAATTCCAGTAAATCAAAGACAATATTTTCCTTCAGTAGATCATTATTTTCCGAAAATAGCTGAATTAGGCCCTTATTAGTTCGAATATGAAATGCTTGTATTGCATGTACTTGAAGATACTTACCTACTTGAAAGTATTATAAGTAGGTAAATATATAGTGAATAATATATCAACAAGAATGAGGCCACAAAGAAATTTTCAGAAGAGCAAAGTCAGAAACAAAGCAGACAAAGCAAGAAAGAAAGTAGAGCCTGCGGTTGTTCAGTATTCCTTTTCAAAGTGTGGAACTGAGTCTTTGAGTAAAAAGTGGATTCTGTTTTGACTATAATAATATACATGAAAAAATTTCTCAGTTCTGATTGGTTAAGGTGAATGTAGTTTTCAGTTAATTCAGTGCAAAGAAAGAAAAAAACCAGACATTCTGATTGGTCAGAATGATTGGTCAATGTCAATGTCAATGTCACTTGTCACTTGCAGGGTTTGAAGAAATTATTTTTGCACATGATGCGCGCGCTTTTCTTCTGCGTAGTTATGAGAAGCTACCTCGTATTTTTTCATGTATATTATTAATAGATAATCACATGATTTTCTCGTACAATTTGGAATAAATGAACACTTGTAAATGTTTTGAAAGACCACAAATTGCACTCGCCCTACGGGCTCATGCAATTTTGTTAGTCTGTGAAAAAATTTACTCGTGCTTATTTATTCCAAATTGCACTCGAAATCATGTGATTACCTATACAAATTCTTAAATTACCTACAGGTGTATAGAAAACTGCGATACCAAACTGAGCCCATCTGGTAGAATGGCTTTACAGGGCATGTGTACAGGTGCTTCATGTCATGGTGACCTTATTTTCAAGTGGACAGTTTTAAAAGACTTGAATAACTCTTCAAACAGTTCTCAGTGGACTGAGGTTTTAGAGATACAGGAATTGATAGTTACTCGAGTTTCATCAAAATCTCTCGTCACTAGGCCTGGAGGGCTGACACCCGATACCAGGTATAAGTTCATATTGACTGCCCAACGACCAGGTGGATACCGCGGGTGTTCCGAGTATCATGTGACCTCAAACAGCCTGCCTGTTGGTGGAGTATGCAGTGTAAGCCCGACATCAGGAGTCACTCTTACAACAGAGTTTACTTTTGCCTGTAATAACTGGCAGGATCCAGACCTTCAGTTACAGTATGAATTTATTTACCTCACAAATGAAAATCTTCTCAATGTGGCATACAAAGGCGTAAAAAAAAGCTTAACGACCAAACTTCCAGCTGGAGAGAGGGAAAATAACTTTACCATCGACTTTCGAGTGCGAGTGACTAACATGGTGGGAGTATTCGTTGAAATGAGGACCCCTGTTCAGGTAAGAAACAGAAATTCCGAAGAAATAGCCTGTCTCCTCGTCGCTTTCTTTACTGTGCCACCGTAATTTTTCATTTCAGTCAACATTGTCTATCATATTGAGATGAATCGCATGTGAGCTATCAGTAGATTATTGCATTTACTTTTGATACCAGGTCTTAGAACCCAGCATTGAACAAGCAAACCTCTCAGACATTGTCCAAAACCTCACAACTGGAGATGAAAGTGAGCTGAAGTATTTGATCCAGTCAGGTGACGTGTCACGTGCTCTACAATTGACGGCGGCAGCCATTTCGGTCGTCGATGTCATTGCGCTTAGGAAAACGACCGAAAGTCAGGCCCATGAATTGACAGAGAAACGGATTATGGTAAATATCAATTATTATGAGCCATTCATAGTAAGAATCCATGTAAAACATCTCAAAATGCCTTTATCAGAAAATTCGACTGTGCAAAGTTTCATTAATTTACATATTAGACGGGCTTAACTAGGGCGCTTTCTGCCTTGAGCTGGGCCGGGTTCGCCTGAACAACACTTGTTTTGCACATTGTTACTTTGAGACCTGATAAGCTGATGGCCTTCAGCCTTGAGTTATAGTTTAGCACAACTGGCTTTAGCGCAGATGCGACCTAACTCAAAATCTCCCTTCATAACCATGTCGTAATTCACCTTGTTGAGCATTTTATCGTGCTCACATGAACGATCACCAATCAGAGATAGAACCGATGTTAAGTTAAAAGTTTTCAATTCTTGATTGATGTGTAGAAATGACGTTTTTACCGTACATACTTCTGAGCATCTTGTATTGCATCTCTGAAAGAGGCAGTTGTTTCAGTTTTTATAGCTCAAAGTTTTTTCACCCTATGGACATACCTTAGTGAGAAATTACGTTCAATTAAATAATTGAGAGATTTCACGCTTATTTTAAACAATACTTCCTGTTTTACTCTTTTACGTTTCAACCAATGTCACCTTTTCTCTTGTAATTGTTATAGATGAAATCAAACTTAATACAGCTGTTGTCCACCATCCCAGTAGATACAGTCGTTAGAGTCCAGCAGGTGTCAAATGTGATTGCCTCCGCCAGCTCGGTCATTGACGAGGTTACCGTTGAAGCACAGGTAATGTCATATTTAGCAGGTGCTGCCTTGTCATCAAACGCAGATCACTCTTTAGCCAAAATCAAAGGTAAACCCTTTCTCATTTGGGTCCCTTTAATTTATTGTTTTTGTACAGAAGGATGCAATAGATGCACTTGGAAAGATGACTGCAGTTTTGAAGATGGAGAGTACAGCTGATGGAAAATACGACACGCTCTTTAATTGCGCACAGAGTCTTGTGAATGGTTTTGGTAGCATTCTTAGGGTAGCATCAGATGAAGCTAGCATATACGATTCGCATTCGCAGGAAAAGTCGTACATCAAAGCTAGCTTCATAAGAACAGATGAACGACTCCCACGAAAGAGGCGGAGGTTGGCCTTCAGGTCAAGAACTTCTTTGTCATATTCATTGGCCAGAAGGAGCGAGAGAGACGCTTCTTACGCCCAGCTACAGGTAAAGTTCGCCTGTAACATGTGTTCAAAAGCTACCCTGTGGATGTTAAAAGAAAATTAAGTGCCTCTGTCTGAGAAAGTGTTCCAGGGGCCAGAAGTGGTAGTCAACTGATTTGGCTGAAATTTGGCACAAAAGTTGAGTGTGGTAAGATATTTCAAAAGCCACGTAGCTCACTTCTCTGACTGTTTTTTTCTGGAGTTTCAAGGGGAGTTCCATTTGTGGCCTGTCGAGCACCAAAAATTCATCCTTCTAGTTGGTATTTTGAAAGTGCTACAAAACTCCATTGGTAAACTGTGCTGCCAAACGAATTTGACCATGGACTCTACTATAGTGGAGCTTTTACTTCATAAATATAACTTTTTTCTCAAGTGATTAGACAGAGAGAGGCCTGGGGCGAAAGTTTGGTCAAATTTGAGGTCAAAACCATTACTCAAAATTGCCATTTTTCAAAAAACCATAACACTCACCTGCCTTATTGCATAACTTTCATACCAAATCCATTATGTACTTTGGTGACCCACTTATCAAAATGAGTTGAGAAAAATTTGGCTTATTCAGGTTTGTTAGGTTTCTGGCACAAACTCTCCATGCCCCTCTAAGGCCAAGCAAAATGGAGTTTTGAGCATAATTCATGCTATAAACAGACCAAATTCTTGACATAAGGCCTTAATTTTGTATTAGGTGAGTGAAAATGAAACATCAAACCAAATCAGTGTCATTATCTAGAAATATTTCGACTCATTCCTTACAAATGCACTAAGAAGGCATCTGATTAGCACTACAAACGCCTAGCGGGTTAGAAAAATAAAGTAAAGTAATAAGTGAAAACTTTGTACCCATCATAGGGCACAAATGATGATGTACTGACCTAGATATGACTATTTTTTAAAGGTGCTTGAATATTCTCTGATCTATGTTTGTTAGGCCACATTTCCCTACGTATCATACTCCAAGCATGCAAAGTCTCTATATTTTGTCAGGCCGTTTTTTATTTGAAAATAAAGTGACCTTAACCCGGCCTGAACCGTTAAGCTAAGAATAAAACGATCGTTAAAAGATGATTCACGTCTGACCTTTGAATAGGCGGAATAGCTCTCGCAAATACCCATCACTACGCGAGCATGACCATGCATAAATAAGCTTATGTGCCGCAGTGAGCACCGTCCAGGTGACCTGTGATCCACCAGAGGTCTTAAGTACTTTACAACTGAATAAATGAAACTATCAAACAAAGAGGGAATCAACAGTCAGAAGAGCTGGATGATAAAAAATTATTGTTGCTGTTTTAATGAAATATTCCACACGAGACATGAGAAGTCGCCGATAGGGCCCGCCATTTTGGACGTGAGAGTATTAGGACTGGACCGTGTTTCCATCCCTCCCCCTATTCAAGCGTAAATGTTTGTGTCCTTATCAGTTATTAAAAGAGTAGCGATAAGTTTCAGGAGAATTTTACGATGGCGCTTTGTTCCTTTGGAGGGGTAGATGATCAGTGCGGTGCCTTGTCATGGGCTGTGTACAAAAAGAATGACGCCTTTGTTGTCTCGCGATAATGACCTGACTGCTTGGTTAAAACACAAGTACAAGGGGTCAGGTGCGTCCGGGCAAGACGAAGACCAGGTGATACCAAAGCTACAAGTACAGATAATTCAAAATATAAGAAAGCGCTCACACACGCGCATAAATGTAGTTGATGGCTTTTCAAGTGCCACTCGATAAGAGCGGTCCTTTCAACTTCCCGTCCAAAAAAAATTTTCCTTAATTTTTTCCCTATGAAGAAGGTTTAGGACACATGTTTCAGAAATAGTTTGGTTGTTTTCCAGTTCTCTTTTGTATGAAGATTTCAACTTTCGCGAACTCTCTGCCAAGGGAAGATTAGCGAAGGTGTTGCAAAAGCAAAAACTCAGTCAACTACTGTCATTGTGCGAGTTTTTCGACATTGAAACTATAGGTAATGCTAAGTCTAAGCCTTCGTATTATGAACCTCTTCTACAGTTAGCTAACTCCTGTGATTACCGCAAGTGATGGTCAACAAACCCGCGTTACTCAAAACTCAGTGAAGGTTGCGTGACTCCTCGACTTGGTCCAGTACTTTCACTCTCACGTCCAATATGGTGGTCTAGTCGATATGATAACAATCGCATCTCGAGGTGCTGCGTGGCATGTTTCACATAAACTGCAACACAAAATATTTGTTATCCAGCTTTTCGAACTGTGGATTTCTTATTTACTGTCGGATGATTTGATTTTTTAAGCTCTAACGTACCAGGGAAATCGGATGGATCACAAGTCACCAGGACGCTACTCACTACAACTTGTATGTATCATCCTGCTCTTTTACTGATGCCATCGTGCGTATTTACAAGAGCTAGCAAAGCTAGCAAAAGTTTAACCACAGATCTGTTAACGGTCGTTTTCATTAAGTTCACTTCACATTGCATCAATAAATGGATCCGACAAAATATAGAGACCTTGCATGCTTGTGAGTATAGTATGTATGGAAATGTGACCTGAAAAATATATATCAGAGGAAATTCAAGCATTTCTAAACAAAGAGGTTGTCATATCTAGGTGAGGACAACATTATTTGTGCTCTATGATGGGTACTAAGTTTTCAAAGAAAAAAAAACCTTTATTTGCTAGACCCGGGTGTATGTTGTGCTAACCAGAGGCCTTCTTAAAGCATTTTTAAGCTACAAGTCAAGGTATTTCAAGATATTGACACTGGATTGGCATAAGTGTTTCATTTTCACTCACCGAATACAAAATAAAGGCCTTATGTCAAGAATTTGGTCTGTTTAGAGCATGAATTATGCGCAAAACCCCATTTTGCTTGGCCTTAGAGGGGCATGGAGAGTTTGTGCCAAAAACCTAACAGACCTCAATAAGCCAAATTTTTCTCAACTCATTTAGATAAATAGGTCACTAAAGTACATACTGGCTTTGGTATGAAAGTTATGTAAGAAGGCAGGTAAGTGTTATGGTTTTTTGAAAAATGGCAATTTTGGGTAGTGGTTTGACCTCAAATTTGACCTAACTTTAGCCTCAGGCCCCTCTCTGTCTAATCACTTGAGAACAAGGTTATATGTATGAAGTAAAAGCTCCACTATAGTAGAGTTCATGGTCAAATTTGTTTGACAGCACAATTTACCAATGGAGTTTTATAACACTTTCAAAATGCCAAGTAGAAAGATGAATTTTTGGTGCTCCACAGGCCACACAGGGAACCCCCCCTGAAACTCCAGAACGAACAGTCAGAGAAGTGAGCCAAACTGACTTTTGAAACATCTTATCACACTCAACTTTTGTGCCAAGTTTCAGCCGAATCGGTTGACCACCACTTCTGACCCCTGGAACACTTTCTCAGACAAGGACACTTAAGTACAATAATAGGGGGTATAAGACCCGTGATCAAATCCGTGCCTCATTTATGATGGTTGCTGGACCCATTTCTGCCTGTAGCCTTAGTGTAGTGCATTTCACCCTGAACTTCTTTTTTTCTAGAAATGTTCGGGTAAAAGGGGTATTTAAAGATAAACTTATCTATACCTGGAAAGTAGCTCTCAAATCTTTATTGTTAGTTTGATGGTAGAATTATAGCCATTGGACCGGCACCCCACGCTACCAAATATTATAATTAAATGGCTGATATAAGCTACAAATAATAATGACAGCGACTCTTGTTTCATGGATGTTTTTGTTTTAGTCTCGAATCCACGTTGAGCTTATACTCAAGTCTTTAAGAGAGATCGGAAGTATCATCTTGTCCCGAACTCTCGTTGGTGAGGAGCCGAAGAAGTTTTCAGCCCCTGCCATGTCTCTTTTAGTGTTGCGAGAGGAGCCGGATTTCCTCGTTAGGACTGTTTTGACGAACAAAGGAAATAGTTTTCAGCTTACTTCATTACCTATCCAGTTGGCTGTTACCCAGTATGTAGATAGCCAGGTAGGTGAAATATTTAATTGCATAGCAGTGAAAATATTGCACCTCAGCTAATGTTGAAGAACGCGCCGTCAATGCACCTTTGAGTAAACTTGTAGACGTTCTTGTTCGTGAGAAGATTGTCTGCATGGTCTTGTCTAATAATAAGGGGCTTCCTCTGTGACACCTCAAACTTGTCATTTTGATGGTAGCGAAAGAACAATACACTCTATATAACTTAATTGTACAAAGCCGGCGAATTTGATACAGCACGTTTTCTTTTTGCTTGTTTTAACCAGGCCAAACAATGTCAGATCCCCTCGCCATCTATTGTTCGTTAATTAAGTTAGAGATAAATTCAGTTTCTTTATGGTAAAGCTTTCCGGCACAAAGCGGGGAAACTAATACCTTACTCGGAACCTAGGGGACTATTTGTTCACTTTCGATCCGCCTACCGCAGAATCGACCGTGAGAAATTGAATGACTGAAGATCTGCTGCGCCTTTCAAAACGTCAATCTATAAGTGAAACCTACAGAGAGACTGGGGATACGAGAGATATTTTTGGTAGTTGGTTCTCAACAAACTATTTGAGAGCCATTTAGAGTTACGAATGTTATTTTCTCTGTCTGCAGATGATAACAACAGACTTTACACCTTTTTCTTGGGACACCTCAGGCTCAAGAGTGACGACTGCAGTTTCAAGCCTTGAACTTGAGAACAGTTCTAGTTATTTTCTGAATACAACACGACTGACAGCCCCGATTACAATAAGACTCCAGAACCTCCAAGACCTCACAAATTCTTCTCAGTCTCATTACGTTGGAGCCAACAGAACTGTTTTCTACAAGTTAAATGTCAACCAAACTGGGATGGCCTTGATGCTTAAGATTCGTCCGGAAAGCAATAAGACAATATTTTTGGTGACTGTTAAGTATGGAAAGCGGTCTTCTGAAAGTGAGAGCGACTTAAATTTAACAATACCTGACGTTTCGTCTTGCGATAAGATACCAGATGGTTATGTTAACTGTTCACGTAATCCTTATCTAGTATTCTTGAACCAGGAATTTGTAGAGGGCAAAGGTCTTGGTTACTACTTCATCGGTCTTACATTCGTGTCAAGAATTTCTGAGATCTCTCGTATTAGACGCTGCACAAAGCAATCATGTGTGCAATACAAAGAACCGCCAACTAAGGGTGCAAGTTTCAGCGTACCTCATTACCGGAAAGGTGATGGAAATTACACGATACAAGTGATGCCGGCTGCTTGTCTGTATTGGAATGCGGAAATATCGCGGTGGACGTCTGACGGATGCAAGGTAAAAATTAAGAAGTTATATTAACAGTTTTTGTAAACTGTAACCTATACAACGTTGTATATAGTAAATCCACCCGTTCATGCGGATGGATTGTCGGCTGATAATGTGTGCAGCTGAGAGACGAAGAAGCGAGGGCAAATTTGAAATTTTGAGGACAATCTCTCAGCCAAGGACATCATCAGCTGACATACAGCAAACCCGAAGGGGGCTTATTTATGTAATAATCCTCCCATTAGTTTTCATTCTGCGCGCTGACAGCAGACTTTGTTGACTTTTTTTTGTACTTTCCGGGGCATCATTTGAGATTACCTTTTTGATGTCAGTGGACTACATCATGTAAATTAGCAACGGTGAAATGATGAAACTCTTACAGAAATAGTTATTTTCCTTTGGCTTTGTTTCTTTTCGACAGAAATAACTAAAGGACGAACATCGACGTAACAGGGGGTTATTGCATAATTTTGCACCACGTGACGACAAATAGCCAATAGAATCGCGGGGAAATTAGTGGGTGGTTGTAGTGATGTTTAAACACGTAGTTAAGACAATATACTTAAGTCATTGAAGATTTTATTTCGCTCTCAAATTTCCTACAGAGCTTGGAACAGATAATGATACGTTCGGTCGGAGTTATAACCCTTGGATCATTACCTTCTCTATTATTGGCCTCCTAATTCCATATTATTTAGTTTTCTCCCCACTTTTTTCCCTCCTATTAACATGTTCACTTTGACTTGAAATGAACACCAAAATGTAACTGTTGATGTAAACTGTTTGATTGCAGGTAAGCGAAATGACAACTCAAGATTACGTTCATTGCTCTTGTAACCACCTGAGTGCTTTCGGAGGTCAGTTACTTTTGGCGCCCACTCCCATCGATTTTGATAAAGTTTTCACGGAACTGGTTCGCCTACCAGACAGTGGAAACTTACCTGTAATAATAGCGGTTAGCTGTGTGTTTGGTCTTTATCTTGGACTTCTGCTATGGGCTAGAAAGAATGACAAACTTGATCTCGTGAAGGTAAACATCTTATTTCTATCAATTACCAATATCTGCGGCCAAAGACATCCGGCCTCTAACAAACTCGCGCTCAGTGAGCCATGGATGACTGACAGCAAGCTCCCAATACCCTTATTAGTCGAACAGCTAGTTGGTTTTTTCCTTGCTTTCCAACGAATTTTACTTAACAAGGGTAAACCTGGTGTTCTCTTGAAAAAATCAAACCATCCAATCGCCAACACTTCCAAGTTTTGAATCGTAATTTTTCATCCGCCGAGTCGTCTCCGATCGAAAGGCAAAGTATTGGAGATAATTAGCAGTCAAAGCTCAAAATCAGAGGCAACATTCAGGCTGTAAACGTGAATTTTGCCGTTTCTTGGGGAATTAAGAGAAATGGTGCGACAATCGAAAGCTGAAAATGACTTTGATTGTGTGACACTAGTCATGCTATATGAAACGCAGTGGAAATTTTTAGGGCCGTCGCTTCGGTGAGGAGAAGTATAAACACTTTCCAGAGAGCTTAATTAGTCATATTAAAGCTATATATGGTAAAGGTGACCTTTAACCCGCGTACAAGGTTTGTTAATAATGGTGGTAATAAAATGACTTCTGTCATGCATATTGCTTATTTGCGCCCATGAAGTGACGGTCGTAGATAATAGTTATGCCGTCTAAAAAGTCACTTTATATCATTATTGTTACAGTTTGTGTCCATTCTGAATATATTTTGACCAGTTCCCCTTTATCCCTTGGCAGGTGGGCGAGAGGGCACTTATAGGAGTACCTATGCCTTGGTCTCATATCGTCGAGGTTCAAGTATCAACAGGCGTCTGGCGAAACTCGGGCACCACCGCTAACGTTTTTATTGTACTGGAGGGAAAATTAGGTACCAGTCGACCGTACCATTTGAAGCACGATTCGTGCATTCCTTTTGCAAGAGGGAGTATTATATCCTTCGTTATTTCCATTCCGGTCAACATTGGCACCATAAAAACCGTTCGCGTATGGCATGACAACTCGGGCACCAGTCCATCATGGTTTTTGAATCAGATCAAAGTTAGCGATCCGTTCACTAAGATGCAAAGGAACTTTGTGTGTTTTGCGTGGCTGGCAGTTGATAAAGGTGATGGATTAATTGATCGCACCCTTGGTTTCACATCAGCAGATGACAAAGGAGTTGATTTTTCCGTATATGTTCGGAATAGAATTGCCGAAGAAGTTACTGATTTGCATTTATGGTTTTCTGTCGCTACAAGACCACCAAGATATCGATTTACTCGTGTACAACGTTTATCTTGCTGTCAAGCACTATTGCTGACAACCATGCTAACCAGTGCTATGTTTTACGAACATCAAACCGCGGTGGACAACACACAGGGATCGCTTAGGTTGGGCCGTTTTGTTGTAAACTTCAGAGAGTTCATCATTGCAGTGCAGAGCCTCATGGTTATATTTCCTGCCTATATTTTGACCGTGCAACTTTTTGCTCGAACTCGATCCTCGAAAGAGAATAAGAGAATGGCTCTCAAAACCAACGCAAGGACGAAATTTAGCAAGAGGAAACGCGAGTTTTCTTTCCCACACCGCTTTATTTTCGTTCCTTGGCTCTTCTGTTTCCTCCTGTCGACCTGTGGGGCCGCTTTTGTTATCTTTTATAGTCTACAGTGGGGTGCAGATATAAGTGAGCAGTGGCTGGTTTCGGTTGCAATGTCAGTTTTGTTGGACTTCTTTGTAACGCAACCTTTCCGAATCATCGTCGTTGCTTTTATACTGCCTCATATTTTTAAAAGGGTACCTGATAGGTCTGCCTGGAAATCTAGCCCGGAAGACGCAAAGGTTGATCTCGAAGATATTAAAGTTGGCGGGCTAGGCTATGATGAGGCCGACGAGAGAGAACTTAAAACACCAAAGCCCTTAACAACGAGAAAATTACGTCGTGCAAGGGCCGCTCGAATGAGGGAGGCGTATATGTATACAGCCCTTCGGAATATAGTATCATACATACTGTACTTGTTAATTCTGCTTGTTGTTTGTTACGGTGGGCGTAGCGAACATGGGTACCTGATGACATCGTCCATGAAGAATACATTTGGAGAACTTAATAAGGTATGTGGATTGCTTCTCACTATGAGCTAATCATCTTTTTTCACGCCTGCCCACTTTCATAAGAATGGAGACTGTTGCCTCAATGTTAACGGAAATTTGCAAGGCTTCGTTTCTCGAAGGTACCGTTAACTTACGGGCCTTTGGCTATGTTTTTTATTTAATTCTAGGAAGCTTGACTTAAAAAACTTAAACATATGGTTTAATTTTCTGACTGACTGAATCTCGAACCTGTCTATACGGACCTCGATCTTGAATGTGAAACACCGACAAAAATTCTTTTTGGAGACAAATAGTCACCAGGACCTTCGAGAAACGGATCCGTTAGGGGAACCTATCGAAGGAGTAAAAAAGCTATCAAAGCTACAGTCAAATAGATGAGATTCAGTAAGGACATTTTCATGATTGCAAGGAACTAGTTTTCTACGGCAAAGGTATGGCTGCATGGATGTGTGTCAGCTCAGCTTCAAGGTACCACTTTTGATCTTGAACGGTGCACTGAATACATGGGCGGATGGTAGAATCCTTGAGAAGAGTTTAAATTCAATCACGTTTTTCCATTCCCTGGAAAAAGAGCGAAAAAAAAATTAAATGCGAAGGAGAAATCTCAGAAGAACTCAGAAGGAAGGGAAATTGCTTTTTTTTGACGTCGGCAGATCTCAGGTAACAACCAATCACTGTGACAGATAGTCAGTGACCTGTATGAAAATTTCTCAGTTTATTTATTTATTCATCCCACCGAATATATAGATTTCAGATCGCTTTAACACATGGAACTGGTTACGTGACGTTTTGGTACCCGGGCTTTTTGAGGACGGAAAAGATGTTACCTTAAATAGTTCTAGTCCTTACATTGGAGATGGCGACGCTGTTCTCGTTGGGATGCCTCGTCTTAGGCAGCTACGAGTCAAAGAAGGTATTTCCAAGAAAGTGTTTCCACGTAGACTAAACAAATATGCTCCCTGGATTTATCTCGTCAACAAACTGATTTTAAGTTCAGCTTACATAAGCTTCAACAAGTTCGTCAAAAGTTCACACTTCAAATCGTAAGTGGAGTAAAAAACTCGCAGAAACCAAATGCGACTTGAAATGAAGCAGATCGCATTGAAGGACTTTCAGCGTAAAAATAATAGCTGGGTGCTCTTACCCCAAGGACTATGAGTTTGATTTGAGTAACCTATAAAATAATTCCGAAGAAGCCAGTAACCTGCACAGAAAAATTGTCCATCATAAAGGGTACGCAAATGTCATTTCACAATATTCACTCAGCTTTTACTGAGGAGCGTTAATGAATGCAGGCTTTAATCATTAGCCATCAATTTAAAAATGTATTGGCATCTCATACAAACTATATCTCTAACACTAGGATAAAACAAATATATCGTTTTTTTCCCAATCTAAGGTTCTTGTGATGTCAGCATAGAGGAATTGACAACCCCATTCAACTCCTGCGTGGCTGCGTACACATTCAGTAACGAGGACAAAACCAGCTTCCACGGGAGAAAATGGCGTTTGTCTTCTTCATTTAGGAACGAGTCACGCATTCGTCTTCCTCAGGTCTGTCCAAGTGCTTGGTATTATTCTCCACCCCAGCAAACACTAAATCTTCCCCTATGGGGAAGACTGCATCTGTTTAACTTTTATGGTGAAGGAGGTTACATGGCCGAGCTAGGTTACGACAAAACTGATGCGCTGAAAGTCGTCTCTGAACTAAACCTGTTTGACTGGATTAGCAGGTTTACTAGTGCAATAATTTTTGAGTGCGCGGTTTTTAACTCTCAAGTAAATTTGTTCAGTGTGATTTGGATCCCTATAGAGTTTTCGCCAAGTGGTCTCGTGCTATCTAATCACATGATTCATACGATGCACCTATATGACATTGGTGGAGGCTACAGTACTGTTACCATAACCTGTCAATTGTTACTAGTGGTTTATATTATATACTTTGTTATTAAGGAAACGAGGAATATGGTCGCGGGAATTCGAATGTATTTCTCACGTTTTCTCAATTGGGTTGAACTCCTCCAGACTATAGCGGTCATTTTCTTTGTGATTGCTCACATCATGAAAGAAACAGAGCTCTTTGCTACCTCAGCTAAACTTAGGAAAAACACTTTTCAATTTATCAGCTTCAATTGGGGAGTTCTTCTACAAGACATGGAAACGATATTGATATCGATACTGATGTTTTTGAACACTTTGAAGTTGTTGTATTTGCTCAAATACAATCCCCGTGTGAGGCATTTATTTTATGCAATGAAAGGATCTGCGCGGGAACTCGCTCAGTGCTCGATTGTATTCGCTGTTTTCATGTTTGGATGTATCCATGTAGGATATCTTCTGTTTGGGAGAGAACTTTACTCTTTTTCTTCACCTTTCATCATACTGCAGTCTCTTCTGGTCGAAGGAGTCGTTGGTGGCGGAGTCGACTATTTTAACGATTGCTGCACAGTCGTTGGCCCTGTTTACTTTACGGCGATAAAAATGGCAGTGAATCTTATTTGCATCAATATTTTCATTTCTGTTCTTGTTTATAATTATGGTCGCATTAGGGAACTCTCCAGAGGAAAATTTGCTCTTGGACGCTTCGTGATAATGAAAACGAAAGAACTTCTAGGTTGCGTGGGCGACCGCCAGGGAGCGAATGGAGACATTTCTGCGCATGATTTACCGATAGAGGAGGACATTCTTCCTGAGGCAGCTGAGATATTGGCAAAGTTGGATCAGATTAATCATCTTTTAAATGTTCACTACGCCGAAGAATTTTGTGAAGACCTTGAACTGTTTTCTTTGTGGTTTGATCTCCACATGCAAGCCAAGAAATCCAAAGATTTACAAGAAAAATGGGTCGATGCACAAGACAATTTTGAGGCTGCTGTAGAAGAAGATTGGGTTGATGCACAAGAATAAAACGTTGTCGCTTTGTGTACCACAGGAAATTGATAAACGACTCGCCTTCTAGACTGATGGATGGGAACTACCAAATCATCTCGAATCGACCTTGATCGCTTTCAGAATTAGAATAAGCTGCAGCTGTAAAGGATATCATTGTTACGTTACCTATGGTACAACTTCAGTCATGTTTCTCCTATAGCATAATTTTATCAAGGCCCCTTTTAAGTTCACGACCTTATATTTCACATGGCCATTTTCGCAAAGGTTTGTTTAGCAACGTTGGGTTTTTATTATAGTTAAACATTCACGATTACGAAAACTTCAGTTATAACTTCTTAGAGCCTTCGTCGACTAGACTTCACCGACCTTCTTAACTTACAACGCAAAATAACTTAACTTAATCACAGTTTTAGTTGCTGTGTTAATTAACGGAAAGCATTCTTAAGTCATTTTGATGTAGTTATTCTTTTAACATTCTTCCAGCAGATTTACCGCAACCCGGCGGTGTATAACGTAGGTTTTGCACATTTATCCGCTGGATTGCAATAAATACGATTACATAAAAGTGGTATCCATGCAACTTGTGATTGCTGGTCGATTGCGTTAATGGGGACTTATTCAGAGTTAGAGACCAGATCAAGGAAAAAATGAACGAATTCCACTGCCTTAGTGTAATAGTCGCCTTGCTACTTGACCAGGACCAAGCTCAAAGTGTGTAAAATAGGAAACAGACTAAGTTCAAAACGAAAAAAGGAGGAAGGTGTTCTCGATTTTTTGTTAGAGACCATTTAGTTGTGGCCTTGGCCGCTGGACAAATCATGTCTTATTCACAAATTCTAAGAAGATTGTAAAATCTAATGGACCTAATGATGAACTATCAAAGTTTGGGCACCCATCAATAGTATTTCTAAAGATTGATATACTCACCTCCTAATTCATTGCGTCGTTGCTTTTTACTTGGAAGAAGTAAAGTATAATGAGGAAGAAATGCTCTGTTTTATTTGCTCTAAACCAGCACTGACATGTCCGTCCCTCTTGTTTTGGTGACTAGTATGGGCGTCCTGATGTATTGCGAACAATCTATAGTTCCCTTTTATGACCGTGAAAATGTAACCGAACTCACAAAAGGGAAAGGAATGTATATCTAAAGGAGCTACATATTCAATTTCTTTTAATCAACAATTCGATTTCAATCAGAGTACTTAATCGCATGGAAAGTTAAAGACGTTCGCACCCATTGCAAAAAACCATCTCTGCTGCGCACGTTCAAATCAAAAAATTTTCGGTGTTCGTCGCACTGAAAGCTCTTGATTGCAACTCAGATGATTTTAGAGTAGTCTTTTTATTTTTTGTTGCGATTCTAAATAGTGTCAATCCAGTTACCGAAGGAGCGGCTTTTCATCACTCTTGCAGTTGCGTGATAATAAGCGTAGCTAATAATATAGATATTGGTTTAGAAGTCAATATGCATTTGATAAAAGAAATGAAAATCTGTTCATAAACGAAACGAGATGAAACAGTTGGCTAATTGGTAAAGATTTGGGGCGAAGCCCCGCGGTACCCTTGCATGCCGTGAAAGGAAGGTCTTCTCAAATTAAGTGCTCAACAATAACGATCTGAAGTCCATATCTTTTCCAAGTCAGGAAAACTATCTGCCAATACCTCGAGAATTATGAACGGGTTTTACAGTCATGAAATACTCCGCTGGCATCTAAACCTAATGGCCTGTGATACGTGAAAGGCCCTGGTGGCGAGACAAAGAGCACTTTCCCGTCACATTCTTACGTGTGGCGTCTGTCTTTCAGTGGACGTTGTCCTTTGACTACAAAACTGTTTGAAGATTTCCGACCAATCATCGAGCTTCAAGTAAGAAATTTGTTGTATTCTTAGCCATTTATCGTAAGAAATGCAAGCTTGTCAGAGGTTAGTAAAAAGTCTGAACGTTTTACTGCCCCTCTGCCTGATATGACTCCATCGCTCTATATTTGGGGTCGCTTGGGGTAAGTTTGAGAGCACAAACTGCTCTTTTCCTCAATACTCTTTTCTGCTTTTTTTTTCGTTATTTTATGAAGTAGGAATAATATGTTCCGGTATCATTTAAGTAATACATCAAAAACGAGTGCGAGTGTTTTATCAGGGATTTCAAACACCGAGAAACAGATGGAAGCACGGGGCCGCGGGCTGCGTGCTTTTATTGTTTTGAGGTGTACAATACCCCTGATGAAACACGAAGCGCGAGCATTTGAGATGACTTCTTAACGAAACTATAAAAAAATATGCAGTGATACATTTTATTCATTGTCCTCCCCAAATGAAAGAACGATTATTTATGCAGCCACGCAATTTTGCTCTTTCCGTGACTTTACGTCAACATGCATGATTAATTGTTTTGGTGTAGTTAGTGTGTGACCATGAATGAAGGCGGAGCGTCAAGATTTAGGGAACCGAGAACGGTTTACGAGGAACGCGAGTTAGTCGAAAAAGCTATTCCCTTGTATACCAAATGTAACAACAAATGGTCGATAACAACTTTTGGAGAATGGCAAGTTTCTCGGTCGGTTATAGCTCCCGTTTTTGATCCAGAAACACGCTTTAAAGACTATGGTTTACTCAAGGTCGTCCATCTTTCTACCAGCATTGAAGAAATGGATGCAGAAACCTTGAGTTACTTGTTTAGCAAGTTTGTGATGGAGGTGGCCAAGAAGTTAGGGGAGATATATCCACCGAAGACCTTTTGTGAAATAATGTTCAGATCATGTTTGAAATTGATATTCACAACGTATTAGTTTTTGAAAATGCTTATTTAAGAGCTGGTGTTTGATCTTAGATCAAAACCCGTAAGGTTTTCGTCTGAGGGTTCATTGGGTATCAAGGTTCATGCATGGGACCCAAATAAACCTCATTTATTGGCTGTTGTCCTCATGGAGTTCAAGTACCACTTTATCACATCTACAATTCAGTGGCTCAATACGATTTTATTAGTTTGTACAAATATTTATCAATCTAGTTTGCTGGTTTCTAATAAAGTGCAAGGTTGTCTCTCATTTCTTGCAGTTTGATTGATTTCTCTACAAGCCATAGAAATTGATTGGTTGTTGTATTTTGGTAAAGCTGTCTCAATGGCTATTCCCCTTGTGAGACTTGAAAAGCAAAATGTGCGCAAAGAAAGAAAGAAGAAGAAAAAGAAATCTCTAGGCCCAAAGCGAACGTAAGTTCCAAGCTTGTAAAAGATTAATTGAAATGAGCAAATTGTGGAAAATGATTGTGATAAAATCCCTTTTCTATTGTGCTATAGAATGTGCAAACTGAGTTGTCCAAACTCCTGACTCTGGTAGTTTTAACACCATTTTGACTTCCTCCATGTCTTTTTGCACAAGGAAGGAAACATTTAAATGAATATATGAAGTTCATATATTTTGACCTGCCGTATTAAATACGTATGATGTACGATCCTTCGCAGAAGATAGCGCTATTTATGCAATAGCGAAAATCAGACCTGAAAAACATCAGGCCTGTACGGGATTCAAACCACTGACCTCTGCGATACTAGTGCAGCGCTCTACCAATTGAGCTAAAAAGCCAACTGGGAGCAGGCCGTTAAGTTGATTCGTAATAAACCCATGATGATAGGTTGATTGACTCAACTGCTCTACAGCATAGTGGTGTAACGAGTAATCGAAACCTCAATTAATTGCGATTACGATCGTTTAGTTTGATTCATGATTCTTTGATCCCATGTTTCGATTTTGGGTTGATTTTTTTGCATACCTTTCCCAGGATGCCCTCAGTGACTTATTATGTTGTAAAATCAGAAAAAAAAAAAAAGGAAAAAGAAAAAAAAGAATCCAGAACCTTTAAAATGTACGTATTCTAATGACGAGCAGAGACGTTTGCAGTTCGTGCGCCATTTTGTGTTGCTGGTTAAAAAAGTTGCCTTTCTAATTTCGAAAAAAAAGGCAAACAAAGTGACAAGTGACCAAGGGATTGTGAATCCACCTCCATCTTTAGATCCGCTGCTTTGACAGTACAACAGACAAGTCTCAAACTATCCGCAAAATTTGCTCAGCAGCTTTCAAGTACTGTGCTGGTTCAACTTCAAGCTTGTGTCTGCTTAGTGGCCATGAATCAACAACGGCCTGCTCCCAGTTGGCTTGTTAGCTCAATTGGTAGAGCGCTGCACTAGTATCGCAGAGGTCAGTGGTTTGAATCCCGTACAGGCCTGATGTTTTTCAGGTCTGATTTTCGCTATTGCATAAATAGCGCTATCTACTGCGAGGATCG